ATGCCAATAAAGTATCTTTGTTGTAACAAAATTAGTAAATCATGACGATTAACCAACAGATGAAATAAAAGTATTTTGTTCTAATGGGAGTCAACATATATCATTCCTTTCAACTTATGAAAGGGAAAGGATATTAGTAGACTGTTAATACAACATGTTACAACCATGTGTAAAATAACTTGTGATTTTCAGTAAAAAGTTGCTTTTAATTTCTATAAGAATCCACAGGAGTAAACTGAAAATATAATTTGGCATTAATGTACACTGTCTAAACCTGACATGTCTTTTTTTTTCTTTTAAATCTGACATTTCTTTTTTTTTTTTTTTTTTTTTTTTTTTTTTTTCTTTTAATGTCATTCTGATTTTCTTCTTTTAAACTGCATGCTTTATTGTAGTTCATATTTTCTTCTGTTTGTTTACAGTCTTAGTTTAAATAGACAAGCATTTTTATTATGAATAAGTCATTATATTTAATGGTTATTTATCAGTAATAATTCACTTCTAAAAGCAGTAGATCCATTTTATAACAAATCTAATGTTATAGAGAAACAAATAATATACTTATTTTTAAAGTATATATGTATTTAAAATAATTTACTTAATTTAAGTAAAAACAAATACTATACTTAATTTGTTTTTTACTTATATAATGGTACTATATGGGCTTTTTGAACATAGTGAACTTTAGAACCTAAACGTTTCTCTAAATGTATATATATATATACAATGGAATACTATCCAGGCTTTAAAAAGCAGGAAACAACATTGGCATTTAATTTTTAAAACTATTTATAAATATAAATATAATTTATAAATTAAAACTATTCATAAGTATAATAAATAGTTTAAAAATTAGATGTCATTTGTAACAACCTAGAGGGCATGTGCTAAGTGAGATAAGCTAGGCACAAAGGGACAAATATTGTATGATCTCACATATAAGTGGCATCTAAAAAATTGGAACTCACAGAAGTAGAGGGTGAACGGTGGTTACCACATGCTCCTGGTGGTTGGGAGGCAGAGAGAAAAAGGGGAGATGTTGGTCAGTGTACAAAGCTTCAGTTGGACAGGAGGAATAAATTCTGGCGATCTTTTACACGGTATGATGACCACAGTTAATAATAATGTATTTTATACTTCAAAATGGATAAAAGAAGATTTTGAATGTTCTCACCGGAGATAAATAATAATATTTGTGGTGGCAGATATGTTAATTACCCTGATTTGAGCATTCCACAATAAATACATGCATCAAAACATCACATTGTACCCCATAAATATGTGTAATTATAATTTGTTAATTGAAAACTTAAAAAAACCTCAAAAAGCACAAAAGTTGTACCATCTTCCAAGCATACTCACTGACAGGAGAACAAGAGCATCAAAAATAATGGAAAAAAAAGGCATGAGGTAGAAAAAAATGGAAAAAATATTTATTATTTAATGGATATTCATATTTTATATTTCTACTCATTCTGGTTCTGGCATATTTTAGATTTTAAAGAATTTATCCACTTTATCTAAGTTGTTAAAATTGTTGGTATTAAGTTTTTCATAATACTACTTTATTATTTTTTAAATGTCTATGGAGATCTCCCCTTTCATTCCTGATATTGGTCATTTGTGTTCTGTCTCTGTCACTCTCTTACATGGGCTAGCTATGGTTTATCAATTTAGTTACCCTTTTCAAAGAACCACATTTGGTTTCATTTATTTTTCTCTACCTTTTGTACATTTTATGCTTCATTGATTTCTACTCTCATTCTTTTCCTTCTACTTTTTTAAAGTTTAAGTTGGAAGCTTAGGTCATTCATTGTAAGTCTTTCTTCATTTGTATATAAATATTCAAAGGTACAAATTTCTCTCTAATCACTGAATTAGCTTCATCCCACATTTTCGTATGTTATGCTTTAACTACCAATCATTTAAAATGTTTTCCAACTCCCTTCATGGTTTCTTTTTTGATCCATGGCTTATTAATGATCTTAAAATGATATGTTTTACTGAATTCTAATTTCAAATCTGTTGTGATCAGAGAACATTTACTGTTGCATTTCAGACCTCTAAAATGTATTCAAACTTGTTTTATGGTCCAATGGTCTACCTTGGTGAATGTTTCATGACTATATAAAAATAATGTATAATCTTCAGGCATTAGGTGTAATGTTCCATATATGTTAATAGGTTTAGCTGACTGGTAGTGTTGTTCAAATTTTCTGTGTACTTACTGATTTCCTTTCGTCTAGTTGTTTATTGGGAGAGGAGTGATTAAAATCTTCAACTATTATGAAAGTAAGTTTGGCTTCAGATATTATTTCATAATTTGACAAATCACTTCTTAAATAATCCAAAATTCTTAACTTTTAAGAGAAACTAATAAATTTACATAATGATTTTAAAAATGATCTTTCATTGTCAAAACTTTCATAATCTTACTTTCCTCTTTAGCAGGACTACCAAAAGAAAACCTATATCAGAAGTTTTAACCAGATTGCTGTGTCTGAAAAAAAGAACATTTGAGTCTCTTATTTTTCCTGAGAAATTACTTGGTGATTGCTAAGTAAAAAAAAAGTGTGATAAATAACACTACTATTTTAATACTGATATTAACATAACAACCGTATTACATAACACTTATTTCTGACAGAAGAGACAGCAGCTCATAACCATATTAATAATTATATAAAATTAGTATATATCTATCCACTTCAAATTTCTGAGCTGTATGAGTTTTATATTAGTATGCAATTGAAAAATTATGGCTGAGTAGTCCTAAACTGAAGTTGGTATAACTCTTTAAGTGGAGGTGGCATGATGTGATGGAAAGAGTCCTGAAGTCAAAATAGTTTAGTAATTCTTGCCCTGGCTCTTACACGTAGCTGTATTTCTTTTTTTTTTTTTTTTTTTTTTTTTGAGACGGAGTCTGGCTCTGTCGCCCAGGCTGGAGTGCAGTGGCGCGATCTCGGCTCACTGCAAGCTCCGCCTCCCGGGTTCACGCCATTCTCCTGCCTCAGCCTCCCGAGTAGCTGGGACTACAGGCGCCCACAACCGCGCCCGGCTAATTTTTTGTATTTTTAGTAGAGACGGGGTTTCACCGTGGTCTCGATCTCCTGACCTTGTGATCCGCCCGCCTCGGCCTCCCAAAGTGCTGGGATTACAGGCGTGAGCCACCGCGCCCGGCATTTTCTTGGTTAAGTACTTTCTCTTAGGCTCAGGGTCTTCTATCAGGTGTAGATCTTATCTGTACTTCTTAACTTACAATAGTTGTTGCAAGGATTTAACAAGATAGCATATACTACTATTTTGTGAGGTAGGGAAGTAACAGAAGAATTTGCTCTTGAGCTTTACTACTGAAACTATTCTAGAACCCCAAATAAAACCCACTGTCTATTTTAACATAGGTTTTATGATTTCAAAGTTTTGCAGTTTTCACAAAATGTTGTAAATCCTGACATTGATTATTAGGTAGCCTATTGTTTGTGGTTTATAATTTCATGCACACAGGTTTCTACAGCAGCCTTATTCACAATTGCCAAAACTTGGAAGAAACCAAATGTCCTTTGACACATGAATGTATACTTAAGCTGTGGCACATCCAGATAATGGAATACTATTGAGTATTACAAAGAAATGAGCTCTCAAGCCATGAAAACATGGCTAGTGATACAGTTTGGATATTTGTCCCTGCCGAAATCTCATGTCGAATTGTAATCTCCAGTACTGGAGGTTGGACCTGGTGGGAGGTTATTAGATCATGGGGGTGGATTTCTCATGAATGGTTTAGCACCATCCTCTTGGTGCTGTACTGGTGAGTGAGTGAGTTCTCATGAGACCTGCTTGTTTAAAAGTGTGTGGCACCTCCCTTCTCTCTCTCTCTCGCTCCTGCTTTTGCCACGTGATATGCCTGCTCCCCCTTTGCCTTCTGCCGTGACTGGAAGCTTCCTGAGGCCTCCCCAGAAGCAGATGCTGGTATGCTTCCTGTAAATTCTGCAGAACTGTGAGCCAATTAAACCCCTTTTCTTAAAAATAACCCAGTCTCAGGTATTTCTTTATAGCAGTGCAAGAACGACCTAATGCAGACATGGAGGAAACTTAAATGCATATTACTAAGTGAAAGAAGCCAGTCTGAAAGGTTACATAGTGTATGATTCCAACTACAGTATATGACATTCCAGAAAAGGCAAGGGCCTGGAGACAGTAAGATCAGTGGTTGCCAGTGGTTGGGGAGAGGGAGAGATGAAAGGGCAAAGTAGAGATAATTTTTAGGCCTGTGAAACTATTCTATATGACACTAAAATAATGGGGGATACATCATTATACGTTTGTCCAAACCCATAGAAAGTACAAGACCAAGAGGAATCCTAATGTCAACTACAGACTTTCGGGTGATAATGATGTCTCAATGTAGGTTAATCAACTGTAACAAACGTACAACTCTGATGGGGTGATAATAGTGTAGGCTATGCATGCGTGAGACCAAGTAGCATATGGAAAATCTTTGTATGTTCTTTTCAATTTTGCTGTGGATTTAAAACTGCTTTAAAAATTGTCTATCGGCTGAGCGCGGTGGCTTACGCCTGTAATCCCAGCACTTTGGGAGGCCGAGGTGAGCAGATCACCAGGTCAGGAGATCCAGACCATCCTGGCCAACATGGTGAAACCCCATCTCTATTTAATATACAAAAATTAGCTGGGTGTGGTGGTGCATACCTGTAATCCCAGCTACTCGGGAGGCTGAGGCACTAAAATCGCTTGAACCCAGGAGTCGGAGGTTGCAGTGAGCCAAGACCGTGCCACTGCACTCCAGCCTGGTGACACAGCAAGACTTCGTCTCAAAATAAAAAAAAAGGCTATTCAAAAAAGAAAAAAGTATGTTGACTTCGTCAAAAATATTTTAAATTCAGAATTTAATATGTTATGGGAGTATTTTTCTCTTATTACATACGTTTCTATAATATACTAATATTTGATCATCAGAAGTGTGTCTACTAAAATGGAAATGACGGTGTATATACTTTATTTCTATTGTTATTTATATTTAATGAAACCACTTTAAAGTTGTCAGTCAAGTGGTCTATAATGGTGAGCTGTAAAAAGACAAGGATCCAGCTAAAGGTGTGTTGTCCCCCGACCCCCCGGTTCCCCACCCCCCATTCTTTGTGCTGTTTTTAAAGATTTGATTTATGAAAGACTGACAGGCACACTTGGCCTGGAGTCTGTGTGCAGTTACTGTTTTAGGTGCTTCGGTGTCCCTGGCTGAAGGAGCCTTAGAAGGACAGAACAGGCCTCTCAGAACTTGAGGACTTGACCAGCTCTGCAGTGGTGGACTCCAGGTCAGAGCGCGCCTCTCCCAGAATCTGTCCCGGGCTCAGACCCACGGGGCCTGTGTGCCTCCTGTCGCGCCGTCCTGTTACCTGTCCTTTTTGACTCCTAGGTTGAGACCAGAGATCCCCAGCAAAACACTGTGCTGCACTTTCGCCACGTTGCCCAAGCGGCACCCCGGTGGATTTTCTCGAGCTCTGTCATGGCGCACGGTTCCCATCCCTCGTCTCCAGCCAGCGCCCTGAGGCCTCTCCTCGAGTCCTGGAGGAGCCGGGGGCCACTGTCCCTTTCTTCTGCGGGAGAATAAACCGTTTCATGTCTCTGGGGAGAGGGTTGAGGATAGCCCAGACAAGTCCAGACGCGCAATTCTCCTCTCTGCTTTTCGCAGGAACCCCTACACTAGCGCTGGGTCACAGAAGCAGGTCTCGCTGTGGCCCCGCCGCCGCAAAGCCCTGCTGCTTACAAACCATGGCTTCCGAGGCAGGAAAGGACGTCACAGCCAACTCCGCAGGTCTGCTCTTGCGCGCGCCCTTTCGGTCGGCGCAGGCCAAGCGCGCACGCGCAGACCAAGCACGCCGGCTCTAGGCTCTAAACTGGGTGGCGGTGGTGTTCACTGCTAGGTCTGGAAGTAGAGTATCTGGGGAGGCGTTCAAAGGGAGGCTGATGTCTGTGGACAAGCAGGCTTGCACAGGACCTGGACCGTGCCGACCGGGGCTCCAGGACCCTGAAAGTCTCGTCGCAGTAAGCTTCCCCTGGCATCTCGCACTTAACTTTTTTTTTTTTTTTTTTTAAAGAGTCTTCTTATCCCACCTCAGTCCCGGAGCATATTGTCTTCCCACTCCCCTCTGGGCTCTTCCGCATATGTTTCTAGAAAGTAAAGGAGATTATTAATGATTGAGAGCCCATTCAGCAACCCATGTCGCGGCTGTGGTTTCAGAGTGTGGCAGCACATCTCCAAGGGAAACTTATAAGAAAGAAGTACGCAGTTTAGATGTAAAGAAAAAAGGGTATTCTGCAGAATCACTCCTCCTCTCCTCTTCTGGCTCTGTCTCATTCCATTAAACCTTACCTTTAAATGTTAACCCTAATGTCAAATGAGTGCCATGAATTCAGTCACAGAGATACACATACAAGATTTGAAGAATTCAAATTTGTAGCCAACGTATGCAATTCATATCAAAGATACATGGTTCCAAGGATGCTGAAGTAACATACACGTAGGGTAAAGGAGAAAAGGTTCTCCTTTATGAGGTCAATCCTGGGAAGTGACCAGTACATCATCTTTATATTACATCTAGGGAAGTGGAGCTATGGTTAATGTCTTAGTCTGTTTGTGCTGCTATGACAAAATTCCTTGGGACTGGATAATTTATAAACAATAGAAATTTATTTCTTACAGTTGTGGAGGGTGGGAATTCCAAGATCAACGTGCCAGCAGTTTTGGTGTCTGCTGAGAGCCCAGTGTCTGCTTCCAAGATGATGTCTTAAACACTGTGTCCTTTAGAGGGGATAAATACTGTGTCCTCGCATGACAGGCAGAAGGAAAGAGTTAAAAGGGCCAAGGTAGTTATCTCCAGACCTTTTATGAGGCAGTAATCTCATCCATGAGGTCAGAGCCTTCATAGCCTAATCACCTCCAAAAGGCCCCTCCTCTTAATACTGCTGGATTGGGAAGTGAGTTTCAACATAAGTTTTGGAGGGGATGCATTCAAACCCTAGCAGTTAAGAAGCTTGAAAATTATGATGCTTCTAAGTGACTAGGTAGGAATTTGAATCTACTCTATCATTTTCATTCTATTACTAAGATTATCAATGGAAATAGTAAATATATTAAGGAGGCATACGATATGGAGAGTTTTTCTCTTATGTTTGTAGAGGACAGAAAAATAATTTAAAAGCTTTAATAATAACTCTTATTAAATAGACACATTTTCCAAAGATTTAAAACTTAAAAATCAGGAGGCAAAGACATAATATTAGAATATGTGTCAGAGAGTGAATGTACAAATAGACAATGGCCAGACCATGTATAAAAGTAGAACTCTGACCCACAACCTCTGCAGCAATCAGCCCAGAATGGTCAGTGACTGCCAATATTTTGCCTCGCTCCAACCAGAACCAACCAGAGAAAACCAAATAGATCCTCAAACCAATCACATAAGTTGTCCCATTTCTAGTTCGCCAACTTCCAGCTTCCCCATGCCAGCAACCCCCCAATCAGAGCACACTGGGAGTCTTTTCTTTTTTTCACCATTAAAGTTTTTTCATTTTCCTTTTTGCCTTTGAGTCTCTGTCAGATGCAAGTAATGGTGGCATGCAAACTCTGAATAAATAGGTTCTGGTTATTCTTATTTGGGTTATCTTTATGTGCACAGTTTCCCTAGACCACCAGTGAGATTTGGTCTATACTGCTTGTTACTGCAGACCCCATCCTTCAACCAGTGGTTCCCATGGAGACTCCTTGCACCTTGCTTTTCATGGCTTGTTGAGTCTTTGCTGATGTGACTAAGTCAGCACAAGTCTGCATTCTGCTTTATGTGTGTGTTTCAGTTCCTCTACTATTTTTTCTTCGATTTTCTTGGTTTCTTAGTTTGGTATCTGGATTTTGCTACTGACTTTCATTTGTTTGGCATCTTTGGTGAAATCAGGCCATTCTCTTTTATTCCTTCTTGCTCTATATTTGGACTTTCATTTTACATTGTGTTGTCTAAAGTGTTGTTTGTCATAAGAAGGAGAATCACAAGATAAAACATACCCAATGTTTTGTAAGCCTGGTGTTTAACCTGGTCTCACAGACCAGTGAATGCACCAGGCTGGCATCCTATTTGGACAGACTTTGTTTTTGATCACCAATAAAACTGGATGAGGCGTCAATTTTTTTTTATCCTGAGATCTTGAGTTTGAGTACTGTTTCTGATTTTCCACCTGTCAGGGGATTGGGAGAGGGACACATTGTAGAATCTGTGTTTGGAGCAGGTCAACCATCAGATCGGGTACCTGAGGTACAAAGTGTACAAGCATCACTTTTGTCAACATAAGAATCACAAATGCATAAATTAAGAAAGGAGACTTTATTTCTTTTTTTTTTTTTTTTGAAGAGTTCTCTGTCCCCAGCTGGATGCAGTGCGCAATCTCGGCTCATACAGCTCCGCCCCCGGCCCATTCCCCTCGCCTCCGAGTGCTGGACACAGGCGCCCCCTGCCCGCTAATTTTTCTATTTTAGTAGACTTTCACCATGTCGATTCTACTTTGATCGCCCCTCGCTTCCAAAGTGCTGGATTAAGCGTGAGCACCGCCCCCGGAGACTTTGTTTCTTATAAAAGGTTGCAGCCTATAAAGGTGGCCGGCCATTCTGACAGGCTGGGAAGCCTAGCCTTTAGCAAAGACTGTTAGCAGGCACTTTGAAGGAGGAAGTGTTGGGGCAGGAACTTTATGTTGCACGGGTTGGCTAAAGATTACATATTTAACAGGTGATAGGAAGAGCTGTGAATAATCATAAAAGGGGTCCTGACACATGAATGAGGAGCATACATGCATGCTACATGCATTCCATGTTCACTTTGCATTTAAATGCATTACAGTTAGGCCCATATGTCAAAAGGTGAAGCAGGGATATAAAGGCACTCAAGCACAGAACCTCTGTAAACTGGCCAGAGCCAGTCTATGGTCAGCGATCTCTTATCAGAAGAAAGTTACTGAAATCAGTCTCTTGTCCAATCAAAGCAGAGGTTATGGCTTGTGGAACAGAGGAGTCAGTTATTCAGTGTCTGTCGGTTGGTGAAATGCAATTGTTTGAATATTGCTTATCATGAGGTCAGTGCTTGTTTAGCTGCTAGAGAAAAAAAAACGTCTCCTGACAGAACAGTTTATTCTTTAGGTGTAGCGGTGTGTCACTTAACCCTTGCCTGGCATGACTCTAGCAATAAGATACCAAATTAAAAACAGGACATAGATATCTTATTGCTTAGGTATCTTGTTCCAATTTGATATCTTATTGCTACAAAGAGTCCATTCTGTCATTCTTATGATCTCTGTTTTGACGTTAATGCTGATCAGTTATTGTGTCTGCACCACAAAAGGGAGGGGGTATAATGAGGCATATTGAGCCTCCTGTACTGTCATGGCTGGGAGCTCAGTTTTTAAGGTTTCTCTGGGGTCCCTTGGTCCATTCAGTCAGTTGCAGGGATTAGAATTTTATTTTTAGTCCTCACTTTAGACTGACTGTTGCCAACTGTTATGGATGGAATCATGTAAATCAAAATTCTGTCCTTCTCCAGGAAAAGCTGCTGCTTCTTACATGTACACTTTTAAACCATGGAGGAAAAAACACTGATAGTACAAAACTGAAGCTAAAATATGTCCCAGGCAGAGAGAACAACATGTGTGAGAGCCCTGAGATCACAAATGGTTTGTGGCATGAGCACAAATGAGCAAGGGAGAATGGTTTAAAGATATACTCAGAACATAGATCATGTAGAAGCTTAAATATACTTGCTAAGAAATTTTCATTTTTCTCCATGAAGAAACAACTTAGAGTTTTAAGCAAGGAGAGTGACACAATTTGATTCATATTTTGAAAGAAGTATCTATATAAGAATTATCTAAAAGGTTTCTTCTCTCAGGCACAGCCTGGTCTTATAAGATAAGCAGATATCAAGAGCTCAGTAAATTATCTGAAAAATACTCCAAACCAGCTCTGTCTCTTCTGTGTTATCTCTTCTGTGTTCAAGGTTGTGTGTTACAGGGCTTGGGGAAATTGCTCTAGGTTACATCAGGCTAATGTTTATATTTTGAGTTGTAGGAAGTGAAGATATATTGGAAAGTTTTCATCAAAGTTTTTAATAAAGTTAATGCTGGCAGCAGTGTGGAGGATGGGCAAGACTAGTCATAAAAGTTGCGGCTCAGTGATCATTTAGATGTCTGTTGTAATAGTTTAAGGAACAAAGAAGAGCCTGGACGAAGGCATCAGGAATGGGAGATGAGGGAAAAAGGGAAAAGATAAAAAACAGATCGTTAGAGATAGAAGTCCATACCCTTCTCTGTGTCTGTGTACCTCTCACATAAATGTAGATCTCCTGGGCTCTAGGTTCTGATGGGCGGTCCTATAGGATAGAGTTGTTATCTTCCCGAAGAGAAGGAACAGATATCTGGTGGAAGCAGGTTTGAGAAAGAATGTGAGGAGAAAAAATAGAAAAATAATTCCACACAACTCCATTAAGGAATTTTTGTGCTAAGAGAAAATGAGATCTAGGCAGCAGCTGTGCGTGTGTGTGTGTGTGCGTGCACGCGTGTGTGTGTGCATAAGCACACCATAAAGCATTGAGAAATTGCAGTATCTATTGAATGAAGGAAAAAGAAAACATCATATTCAAATCAGAAAAGGGAGAATTAGTGGAGCAATATCCTTCAGAAGTTAAGAGGTGATGACCTGTTTCTCAAGGGCTGGCCTACTTAGGAGCAGGAGCATTTCATCCACAGTAAGAGGAATAAAGGAACAATGGGCAAGGTGCAGTCAAGAGGGTCAGAGTGGTCCAGGAAGACTGTGTAAGTTGCCTTCTGCTGGCTTTTCACGTCAGTGAAATACAAAGTCATCAGAGTAGGAGACAGGTAGATATAGAAGATAAGAAATAGTGATCTGCAAGGATGGAAGTGTCAGTAGATCAGGGAACTATCATTTTAGCCAAGTGACATTTAAACTAAGTAGAGGAGAAATTTCATAAAATATACACACATCAGGTATTTTCAGTGACTCACTTAGAATTTAATAATATTGTAAATGGAGCTTTGAAAGATCGTCTAGTATAATAGCCTTTATTCAGAAATGCTTTACTTTGAAGAGAAACAGAGAAATCTTCAACTGGCACTTAGTACTAATACTTTTACATTTTTTTTTTTTTTTTTTGAGATGGAGTCTTGCACTGTGGCCCAGGCTGGAGTGCAGTGTCTTGATCTCTGCTCACTGCAAGCTCCGCCTCCTGGGTTCAAGCCATTCTCCTGCCTCAGCCTCCTTAGTAGCTGGGACTACAGGTGCCCGCCACCACACCTGGCTAATTTTTTGTATTTTTAGTAGAGATGGGGTTTCACCATGTTAGCCAGGATGGTCTCGATCCTCTGACTTCATGATCTGCCCGCCTCAGCCTCCCAAAGTGCTGGGATTACAGGATTACAGGTGTGAGCCACCACGCCTGGCCACTTTTACATTTTTCAATCACACTGATCAGAAGTAGATAAAAATTGTTTATAGCAAGGAGGTATCTATATAAGAAGTATAGATAGGTCCTGAGAAATGGGAGTAAATGTCACAACAGGGCTCAATTCACCTCTGAGGTATGTATGAATGAAAGAATTAATGGATAAAGGCCCTTAGAGGATTATTTTTAAAGAAAATTCAGAAAGAAAGGTAATAATTTTGGTGTAGAAATATCTCACAATTTTGCTATTTTTAATTTCCAATTTTCTTAAGTAGGACTTGATTCTAATCTTTGTAAAATCTACAGAGTATACTAAAATATACATTCTTTAATTTGGAAAAGGAATTATATATTTTCAAGTAATTCAAAGAAACTACTAATATTATAACAAAAGAGATATAATCTTTAGGTTTATGAGATTTCTGTTCCTGTACTTCCCAAGAACAATTTCTTTATACTAAACTTTTAGGAAAATTTTGTATATGAGTATTAATGTTGATTATAGAAAGTAGGAAAATTGATGAAAAAAGATAAAAATAGTGACCATAAACAAATGTGAAAAACAACCATTTATCACTTTAAACACACATAAGTCATTGTCACTTTTATTAAGAATCATTTTTTTTCATAAATCTTGCTTGGATACTTCAACAGTTGATTTCAATTATTATTCTTTCTAAATTTATATTATCTGTTTTTTAATACTTCTTGGAATAGGCATACTGTAAGTATTGAAAATAAGCCCTGATATGTAGTTCTTGTCAATTTTCTTGATGACCACTGTCCACACTGTCCACTCTGGGACTGAGTCATCTGGTAAAAATCAATATATAAGTCAATATATAAATTTGGAATTTACACCGATTTTTATTTTTTATTTTTATTTATTATTATTATTACTATTATTTTGAGACAACGTCTCGCTCTGTTACCCAGGCTGGAGTGCAGTGGTGCAATCTTGGCTCACTGTAAGCTCCAGGTTCACGCCATTCTTCTGCCCCAGCCTCCCGAGTAGCTGGGATTACAGGGGCCCACCACCATGCCCGGCTAATTTTTTTGTATTTTTAGTGGAGATGGAGTTTCACCGTGTTAGCCAGATGGTCTCGATCTCCTGACCTCATGATCCACCAGCCTCGGCCTCCCAAAGTGCTGGGATTACAGGCGTGAGCTACCGAGACTGGCCGCCTATTTTCATTATGTAAATACTCTCATTTCTGAGTGTAAGCTTCCAACAGTTCTTGTATATTTAGCAATCTAACCCTAGGTATGATATGAATGACCTCCAGCTCACCACTTTCTGAATGATGTTTAAAGTGAAGGTACAGAAGCTATTTAAAAGGTCACAGAAGTAATCTAGGCAAGAGATAAAGAGACTAAATTAAGGTACTGGAAATAGGAGAGACTATTTCCGAGTAGAAGAGATGGAAGGGAGCTCCTGAGGGAAAGAATCCTTCCATATGTCTTTATATCCCTCATATGGATGTTGGACTCCTGTGTTCTGATGACTTGTTCTGTCAAGCAGAGGGTAAATTGCCCTAAATATAGTGGATTTTTAAAAAGCAATCATCCAAATAAAAGACATCCTGGAAGAGGAAATGAAGGATTGAGTTGCGGCTCTTTATCACATGGTAGAACAATTCACTAGTCTCTTAGTGCTGGACTCAGAAGATTCTATGACATGAACGAGGGCATATTCTCTAAGTTGATGGCCTTGGAAAAGCAAAACAAAACACATTCATAGGTACAATCATGTGCCACTTCACAACAGGGTATTATCTGAGAAATATGTTGTTAGGTGCTTTTGTCATTATGTGAAAATCCTAGAGTACACTTACACAAACCTATATGGTATAGCCTA